AAAACAACAACTCTTCTTGGGAGAAAAGTAGAAAATGTTTATTCATAATTCATTTTTCTTGTTTTTAGTTTTCAGGAAAACCAAATCTATTTTTCAGTAGTCATCTTTTGGAGACTCTACTGACTATTCTTTGAATGTAGTCTCCTAATTTAGATACCATACTGAAATGGCTGATGCAGACCACTGTAAATCATTGATCTCCTAAAGATGCACAATAATAGAACAGATATATAATGAACCAGAGAATCACAGAAAAGTTGGGGTTGGAAGGGACCTTTAGAGATCGTCTTGTCCAATCCCCCGGCTCAAAGGAGAGCTACCTAGAGCAGGTTGCCCAGGACTATATCCAGTCGGATTCTGAATATCTCCAAGGACAGAGACTCTGCTTCCTCTCTGGGCAACCTGTTCCAGTACTTTCAGTGTGTTTTCTCACATACAAACAGATTATCAATAATCTTTCCAGTACTTGGGTTTTTTTTTAATTTTTAAGATGGGATTTTCCACAACTCTTAGCATTGGTTTAAATACTCCTTCTTAAAGTGGTAGGAAAAAACTGTTAGAGAAAACCCATGTTAAGAATCACAATCATGCAGAACATGTTCAAGTAAGTTGGTTAACTGATGTGATTGCATCTGTGGTACATGCTCAACCCATATCATGAGAGAGAAGATAAGCTTCCTCTCCAGCATTCTTCATCTTAATTTTACCTTTTGAATTCTTGCCTTTTTCCCATTCTGTCAACCATTAAAAAACAAAGTTTGTTCTAGTAAAACATACAGGGACTCTGAGCAGTACTTCTAAATATAGTTTACATATAAAAAACATAGGTATGTATCTAAACGTACTTTCTAAATGCTTTCTTTCTTAGTACTTATGCCAGATACAATATGACTGGAATCTCACCGAGTGTGAGATTGCACCTTATCCAGCATACTTTTAAAATTGGCCCCAAGGACAATTTATAGGGAACAAAAAAGACTAAAATAGGTCAAAAAAGTGGCTTTTGATATTTCAGAATATGCTTGTAAAGATTTTATTGAGCATTTAAATTCCCATAAGGATCCATAATATTCCATTTTATGAAATGATAAAGCATTAAAAGTGAGTCAGGATGTTTAACAGCAGCAAAAATAACTTATCTCACTTCCAAGAACTCAAGAATTTCTACATATGCACAAATGCTTCCTACTGAAATAATTCTACTAAGTATAGAAAATATACGCAAATTATTGCATTTTGCAAAAACAGTAAATAAGATACAAAAACAAGAGCCCCCTCATAATTTCCATAATAGTTTCACTCTAAAAACTCTCTACTAGAGAAAGGTAGATTGTAACAAATGCAAACTTCAGAATGCAGTATTGGGCACAATCACAAACAATTTCACAACCTGCCCCTCTTCCGGTGGGACAAATATATGTCAGCAAAACCCCCAAAACATGAAACTCCCAAACCCTAACATCAACAGCAAGCGCTGATTTTTCTCAGGCAAAAGATGAGAATGTAGAAAGGAATTTTTAGTGAGTTATGCTCCATTAGTGGCAAACATAGGAGAGCTAACCCTTTGTATTTGCCTCTAAAAATGCCATCCTGGATGCTATTTTCAAGGAATGCAGTCTAACGTTAAAAGACATGTCATAACTTTGAGAATCCAGGCTCCAGCGTCCCAGAAACCTGTTTATATAGCTCATAATGTAATTACAGCTACCTTAAGACAGATGAGGCAGAAGGCAGCAATATATTGAAAACTAATTGAAAAATGCAGTTGTCCAGAAGCACTTGTGGGGAAGAGGTCTCTGAAAAGCTGCTCAAAGCTTCAGAGTTTGCCGTGAAATTTTTGATGTTGTCACTCTCAATCTATTGAATGGCTGACAGACAATCAAACCCGTCTGGCTGGCTGGCAGCTCATTTTGCTGGCAGGTGGCAAACAATTAGACACACCAATTTGTGCCTCCTGATGACATTAAAGCATGAAACTAAGTTGTATGCAGGGCCTAGTGATTTGTGTGAAAGCATTTCAAAAATAATACTCTTTGCCGTGGCAACTCATTTCAGACTGCCACCTCCCATTACGGCTTTGAGCAGTGAAGACGACAGACTTGAGTTACGTGCGGTGCAAGGCCGCTTCTGTTCAATCCGTCATCAGCGCCCCCCGAGACCTCAATCCCCTCCTTTCATCAATATCACCTCATCATTTACATTCGATAGTACTTGAACTGCTGCATACATTAACTGCGCGGAAGTCCTATTTGATAAAATATGTTGGACACATTTTTTGCTTTTACATTTCATTTATAGATGCAAAAATTCTAAGGATACACTGTGGCTCTTTTGAACACATTACCAATGTACAAATAAAAAAATAACATGCAGAACAAAACATATCATATTAAATGATAAAACAGAATTCTAAACTTGAATTCTATTTTGCAGTTTGCTTCATATGGAGTTTACCTGAGTATAAAATGAGTGATTATAGCTAAGGAAATAGCTTTAAAATAACAAAGATTCTATTATTTTTCTAGTAATTATTTATTACCACAGGTCTTCTTTTAGAAGACTCACATGCAACACGATAATCTCCCAAAGATCGTTTCTTAGATTATCTTTTGACTGAAGTGTAAAATACATTTCTCTAATATTGATTTGCTTACAAATACAAAATCGCTGTGTATTTTACAAAAGCACACAGAAAACTGTGCTAAAACAAATAAAACCTGACAAAACAATACACTGCACTGCTCGTGAGTCTCTCTGGAGAGAATTAACATGGCCAATAGCCACACTGCTCAATAAAGTACCAAAAGCTGCATAAAGTAAAGCAACAGAAGAACCTACAGAAATACGTATCACAGACATAGTGTTAGCTTTAAGTGTGTGCTTAAATCAGTAAGCACAAGTATATTTACATCTTACAAGAAAGCTTTAGGTATAACCGTGGGCAAATAACCAAGCTGCAACTTTTTTCAGTTTTTCAAAGATAATCTGGATACTAAGAGCAACAGAAAATGTTCATACACCATGACAACCTAAAATCCTTGTTGCGCTCTCAATTCATATTTTAATTAAATTGTTTTAATATACTATCCAAGTTTTTTTCCCCAACCTTTATCCCTGTTGCTTTCACAATTCATATTTTAATTTTTTTAATATGCTATTCAAGTTTTTTTCTCAACTTTTATATTTCAGTTCCCCCATGAAAAGTTAGGATCTCAGTCTGCTTCTGGACAGAAAAAAAACAATAACAACAACAAAAAACCCAAATGCTTTTTAGCTCCTAAGCAAGCTAATAAAGTATGAAATGCCTATCAAAATCCATAAACTCTAGACGTGCAGTACCTCTTATGTAAGTCCACAATTCTATATTTGCAACTCCTAATGACAATGCTCAAAATGTCCAAGCACTCACATTGTTTCAAGAAGAATCTACGCAGGTGATGACACTAAATATAGGTTATGGTCAACATATTGCAGTCCTCTTGAAGTTTTTAATACTTTCTTATAAAACCATACTTCAGAAATACCAGAATAAAACTCCTCTCTCCAACTACCTTGAGGATAGGTTCCCTCTAAAGGCAACAGAGGGAGACATCTCATGAGGTGAAATGCTCCATTCTAATTTCGGTGCCTAGCATTCTGTGAATTAATAACTCTCTAAATGAAGTTTTTTTCTTAACTGACCAAAGTAGAAATTTAGCTGTTAATTTCTAAAATTCTATATTGCTAAATCTGCAGAAATGCAATTATCAGAAGCAGAATATGAATCAGAATTATCAGAAGTGGAATACGGCAGTTCCTCACACAGACTAAAGGAAAATTTCCATAGCCTTATAGGAAAAAAATTTTTTCACATCACCTTGAAATCACTCCAAAATTACAACATGCGGTCGGTGAATGAAAAATATCCTCTTAGTTAAACAGTTGCTAAATAAGCTTTCTCTGAAATGGTCATAAGATCTAAAATATTATTGGAAAGGGTTAAATTTGTTGCTTCCAAGCCACATTTCACTTTTCCTTTCTCAAAACAATCTTCTTTGTTATGGCAGATGCTATCTGATTGTTTATTGAATTATTTCAAAAAAGCCGCCTCAGTACTAACATCTACTTATAGAAAAAAGCCATCAGCTTTTTAACAGAATTTTAACTTTTGTACCTACACAATGAACTAATAATTTTCTAAAACTTTGCTTAAAGTTTTGAGACATGTTTTAACATACCTTTGACTTGATTCTTGATTCCTTATGATTTTTAACATTTTAATTAAGAAATTGCTGGGATCGTGTCATACTGGAAAATTTAATAACGTCAACATGCATAAGAGTTGGCTCTTTGCACAGGTTAAGGCTGAGCCCAGAATGAAGTACGTTATTGTCTTTTGGAAGGATGCTGTCAATTGTACACCTTATCACAACTTCTACGTTCAGGATCATTGAGATGGATTGGATATTTGAAAAAAAGTATTTTCCTTAGAAGCAGGGAAGTTACAGCCTAACAAGAGAAACAAAGGACTCCCTGAGTAAATGTTGACAGTTTATCTTTAAACACTGACTTTTCAGCTTATCTACTTTTTCAAGACCTAAAGAGAAACTGGTCTCCACCATGACCATTCAAACAATCTTGCATGGTTCAAGCATTTCAGCACCAGAAAAGAAGTGCAATAACAGATCAGTTAATATTTATGCATTTTGGAAGAATTTTCAGCACTGTCAGTCTATTCTACATCAGCAGATATTACCCCTCCTTCCCGCTATTCCCAACTATCTCTTAGAATTTTATTCAATACTGACAGAGGGAAAAAAGGTGATTTTTTTTGTCTATACCATAGGGTCCGTTTTGGTGAAACAGAAAAGGAGAAGTAATGCAGTTGGTTTTGTAATGTATTCTAATGTATTGTAATGTAATGTATTCTAATACAAACCAATAGCAGAATCAGCATGTTAAAATAAATCCCTCAAACTTCTGATTTAAATCAATATCAAATAATCAATCCAGCCATATACCTGTCAAATGAGTGAAACTGCATGGGAAGAATTGCCTGAGCTTCTCTCTTCAGTGCAGGATCTGGGTAAGGGATAGGATCCGGACCACATTCGGCAATTTCAACAGGGGCTGCCACAAGACTTTTCAGTATTTCCTTAACATTGATGCCTTTACTTTGGCTGATACTGGATATTGATGATGCAGGTTTCAAGATTTCACTGGGGCTTTCACTTAAGCTTTCCTGAGATTTCTTCACCTCAGAAGACAAAGTAGACAATAGCTCACTCATAGCATCAGGGCCTGTGCTCGCCTCCAAGTCTGTCCCATTCAAAATACTGGGCATCTGTTCTTCTCCAATTCCAGAATCCGTATGAGGAATAGAGCTTTCTAGCTGAATATCTTCAGCTGGTGTTGGTGTTTCTTTTTCTTTGCTACTATCTGGAAATACAGTTGGTGTCTCTGCAGTGAAATAGATATTATGAACAATATTTATAATTTAATTAGAAATTGTTCTCTACAAATATAGCCATGAGGTTTTATAACATAGAAATAGAAAGTGTTAGAAAGCCCATAAATATTAGTAGGTTACACCTAGAAGCTCCTTCTGCATATAAAGCATATTTTGGTTTCAATAGCTGTTTTGCATATCTAAAGGTTTGTAAGATGGAGCCCGAAGTTGCATCATGCAAGCTCAGTGATATTTAAAAATTACAGCTCACTATTTACACAGTGATCAAATAACAGAATACTGCCTAAAACAACACACTCACAATTATAGCGTATAGCTAGTATATCTGTATGATCTGTGAGGCTATTGGAAAAACAAGGCACAACCAGTCATGCTTTAGGATTTTATAAAATTTAGGTTGCTATTGCTGTCAGCAAATCTTAAGCTTGCATTCAAAAGAAAATGAAACTGCTAGACCTGTTGTTTGCAAAGATAAATTCAAATGTATATTATGTGCATTTTTACACACACACGGACTTAAGTACCTTAAAAACAAATCTGTTTATACATAAACAAAAGAGTGTTATGGTTCATTCTTCAGATAACTGCCCCTTGCCCCACTAAAGGTAAAATTCTTTAATTCTTTTTGGTAAAAGTTAAAAATTAAAGTAAACACATTTGGACTTGTAGTACACAGCTTATAGAGAAGGGTAAACTAAATATGTTGAGTTTGGAACATTTCCAGATCGAAATGGACCTGCAGAACCTTGCAGCCAAGAAAAGTGTACCTTTATTAACTACTTCAGCGAAAGAGACACAACAGTTTCATTAAATACAAATAATTCAGCAGTATGCTTAGGGGAAAGTTAGCTGAAGTAATGAATAACTTAACATTCGGTTACACTTTTCAGAGCAGCAGACTGTGGCTCTTTTTAACAAAAAAAAGCCCTCACTTAAGTTGATATTTTTAAAATTTCAAATTAACTTATTTTCATTGAGTCACTTGCCTTGATTATAAAACTTAGTTGGCCTGTGAATGAATTAGGGCTACTTTTTCCTTTCTTTCTTTCTTTCTTTTTTTGGATGGTTCTGATAAAGTAGTAGGTTTAAATATTCTGGAAAATATTTCAGAACATACTTAGATGAAGTTCTGCCCTGCTAACTATTTCAAACAGAAGGTTCCTCAGCAACGTAACTACAATACCAATCACATAATTTATTATCAATTGTAACAGCAATCACCTGCAGAATACCTATGTTTTTACCACATATGCGTAAGAGTGCCCGTGTGTGTGCATGCATAAACAATTCTATATGGATTATTTGCTTGACCTAAAGGTACTGTAAAAGTATTCATATACAACAGTGTTAATGAACAGATAAAGATAGAACCAAAGAGGCTACAAAAAATACAAAACAAAATGACCTTTCATAAGGAATGTTTTCTTCCTTTAACAGCCACAAATGCTGAAGCCACTTCCTTCTTCTCTTTCTCCTAGTTGCCTTAAGTACATTTTGCCAAACAGATATCAGCTCTATTTTGTGAATCAGGAAGTAGAAATTGGATTTAGGAGCTGCATAACATGCAGTCAGCAGCTGTCAGTTCAAGAAGTAAAAAACCCGAGTCTACTTAGTACTACGTATATGTGGCAGAGGGGACACTGGGAAAGCAATTTGATCCACAAAATGATCCTAATGAATCTTCTATTTGTTTGCTTCTTTAAACTTCATCCTTACAAAGACAACGCTTTTGAACTGCTGGGAAGAGTACCACTAGAGAGCCAATCAAACCAATTGTTGCCCTGCTCAAGCTAGAACTGCATCTCTGCACAGAATACCCTACCTGCCTTCGAAGAAAGCCAGTTCAAATGCGTAGAAGCCAGGGCAGAAATCTATATCTGAAAAATGCTCAGCGATAGTTGCAGAAACCGTGGCATTGTAGAAGAACTTGTGATCACTTTATGATTATTCAAATTAAGATCTGAATAGCTTGAAAAGATGAACGATAATTTAATTCTTACTGGTTAATAAAGAATGTATAAATTACATGTGTAGCTCTAGGGAATTAAGCACTGTGATCCCTGCTCCCTGAGAAAAAGACTTCCTGAAATTATAAAATCTCAGAAGCAGATTTTTTTTCAATGATTACAGTTGTTTTAAGTATAGTTAAAAAAGAAATCAAACAAACATCTAATTTGATCCTAAAAAACGGCTTGCAATGAAGGAAAAATAGAATGAACAGCAAAGAAAGCTATGTTAGAAGTGCAGAAGTGGACAGCAAATGAGAATTGCTGAAAATCAAATGAAGCTAAATACTCTGATGTATGGTAAATAAAATGGAAAAAAAGTTCTGTTATTATATAAATGTAAAGAGGACATTGAAAGAAGAAGAGGGTCTAGTATATGGTGAAGATACAGTAGATCATGATCTAAATATGGACAAAACACTACTTGAACATTTAACCTCAATTTTCATTAAGGTCGACAATATTGAACACAAAACTAAAGACAATAAGGATAATGGAAATGTGGTCATGGAAATACAAATAACCTTAAGTAAATCAGAAGATATATTTTAATGTATTAAAAACATGGGAATGAATGGACTTTAACCCAATTTTGAAAGAAGCAGTCTGTGGAATTGCTGGTCTAGTAACCAGCAAGTCTTTGCCAAATACGTAAGTTCAGACCACAACATTTAACTGTGGAATACCAGATATAGCATTTGTTTTTAAGATGGGGGGAAATTATCTGCACAACTGCAAGACTTTAACACCTAGCAAGATTTCAAAATTAAGAGCTTTTCTTAATATTTATTGATCAAAGAAAATATGGCCACTGTAATCAATTTCAATAAAGTATAATGTCACAAAATATATTAATTCAATCTGGAGAAACAGAATTAACAGAAGGTGGAAAAGAAACTTGCCAAGTAGGAGCCATCAAAAAGTTTCAAAAGAAAAAGCATCAAACTGAGGGAAACTACCATGGGAGTTATCCAGTTTAAAATTTTTATAAAGATTTCAGCAAAAAAAGTAGGAATATTCTGGTGAAATTTACTCATTACAAAGTTAGCAGGTACAAATGATGCAAAAGAAGGAATTCTGACAAAACTGCAAATTACATTTAATAGTGCAAAGCCATTTATTCAGTGACTAACACACAGATTTCCATTATAATTGGAATTCATGAACTGGAAATGACCAATCATGACATCAATCACAGGGTGACTATTCAGCTACCAAAACAACACTGCTATGGAAAAGGTAAATGTGAGTCCAAACTTTTCTGGAGAAATAGCTACAGCAATAGTAGGTATTAACTGTATTAGAGAAGGCTTTGGTAGGTTTCATTTTGGAGTAATGTATATGCAGCTATAGTTGACAAAGATGTAGTGTCACTATGGAGATCAACAGTACCCTATTCTTGCAGAAAAAAGGGTTTCGCTTATTTAGTCTGGCAAAGTTAATACTGAGAAGGAACACAAGTGCTATTACACATTTATTTTAAGGATACAAACTCCAGAAAAAGGATTGAAGCTAAATGGAAGAGTTGCCAAGAGAAAAACTGAGCGTAAATTCTCCTTGAACAAATTTAGTTTGGTAAATGACCAGCCATCAATATGGAATTAAGGATCTGGAATAGCCTTCCAATAAGAGTAGCAAACTCACAAGCAAAAACTAGTATCAACATAGAGTTTGAAAATAGATTGTTTTATATGATGCTTTGCCTCCACTATAAAGGGACTGAACTTAATTACTCAGCAGGTCCCTTGTCTTCCTTTGTTCCCATATGAGAATAAAACACCCACGAGGACTGCACTGCTTGAAGTTAAAAGTGAAAGGAAAACTAAATTTTTACTGGCTCTAAAAATAACCTTTTCTAATCAGACGCATATAATTCCTGATATGTCACTTTTACATATACGTGAAAGAATAAAATAATAACAATGTTTCTAAAATAAAACTGCACACACAACTAATACCATTGTAAGACAAACATGAAAGAAACAGTCAAAAATAAAGTTGCACTATTTATTAGGGAAGATCACTGTGTTTCAGCTTAGGATTAAATTTGATATATTTGTGGATATAAATTTAGATATGACACACTGATATATAACACTAATTAAAATTATGTTGGAATAAAAAGATCAATAAAAATATCACATACAGATAAGTGTAGGGATACTTGAGTTCCATAGTAACCAGACTTGTATCTTTACTTTTCTTATTGGTCCTCCACTATGTATAAGAACCCAGGGCACTAAGTCAATTGAGCTTAGTCTAATTCATCATTATGAATAGCAGTTTCTACAAACTACCTAACTTCCATGGATTACTTCTCATTTTTCAAAATAGCACACATGCCAAATGAATATGGGTTTAGCCTGCCAAGTTACTTTTTGTAAATCAAAGGAAAACAAATTCAGAACAGATAAAACTGATTCCATTTCTGTATCTCAAATAAAAATACTAGAAGAGCACTATTTGTGAAATGATGTCTGAAAAGATATGTTGTAAAACCTTCTGGATCCGAACTAACATCGTTTTAGCTAAATTCTAAATTTCTGAATAAGGGCCAAAGAAAGCAACCAATTTAGTCCCAACACTGCACATCAACATATTTTGTTCTATTTTCATTGATGGCATGTCACAGCACTTCCACAGCCTACTGACTTCAGAATTCAGGAATAAAGAACCAGTACTGACCACTGCATTCATAGTATTATTTAGCAAATATCTTAAACCTGTAACGTGTATGCTTTTGTAACAGCCCTGAATACTCAAAGCAACTTAGCCAAATGATAATTTAAACAACGACCAGAAGCACAAACATAACTGATTACATCTGTCTATGTTATAACATTTTGACAGTAAGCCTGTAAATTTGCAGCAAACCTCATCAGTTTTCTGCAGCACTAGGCCATGTCAGTAGACAAAGTAAAAACATTACTAGACCTAGTGATCTTAACCCTGTCAGAAATCAGCAGTTGGAAGCCAGATGCCTC